TTTTTTCTTCTTCTTCTTGCCCCCCCTGACTCAAGAGTCAAATGTCGCCCATGCTAAGCATGTAGATGAGCTTATCACCCATGCTATTTATTTGAAGCCCACATGCCAGACTCTTATTCAAAAGCACAAAACCTCAACCCATATCTGAACTATATTGACTGCCGACCATGGTATTGCTTAAATGAGTGCGGTTAGTCATAGTTCCTCTGCACACTTACATTTATTCTCACATTTATTAGTTTAATTTTCTTCCTGTGGTTTTAGGGAGTGGTCCTTCAGCTCCCAGCAGCAGCGTGACTTCGCCCAGTCACATGAACATACCACCCCACAGTGTCCCTGACTTCTCCTATTCCAGCAGTGAAGATGAGTTTTACGACGCAGATGAGTTTTATCATAGCAGCACCTCACCAAAACACTGCATAGAGTGAGTTAAACACACACACAGACACATACCACACCACACGAAAAACGGAATAGTGTAAGTAATGAACAGAAACATAAAAACTTCTGTATAATTAAAACTCATTGAAGTAAAGCACAAGTAAATTATAGTAGCACCTGCCCACACGCACATTAAGTAACACTGCGTTATGTGAAAACAGTACTGCTTAGAGATAAACACACTCCCACGCACTATTTACTGCAAACAAAAAGAAACACACACTGACCTAATTAAAACACCATCTTTGTCATTCTCAGGTTGTCTTGCCGACATTTATCTTGGAGCGGAGGTCGTTGCTGGAAATGTATGCAGATTTCTTTGCTCACCCGGATTTGTTTGTAAGGTAACGCTCGTTCTGTCTTGTCTATAGATCTCACAGCTGTTCTACCATATGGACTTATCATTCTTAAGTCTGATTACAGCAGCACTGTAATAACTGATGAATTTAAAAGTAGCAATGCTACTAACTTGACTACATTTCGGAGTAGCCAGACAGCAGCTGAGCTGTTTCCAATGTACTGTTCTAGTAATTAACTGTTGACAGAATATTGCATTGCTATTTTATTATATATCTCACGCAGCTTTGCAACCAAATGAGCTGAGGAAATAATCAAACATGCTCTGCTAGGATATCTTTGCTCTCTGAAATAGAAGTGTGATTCAATCTAAGTTGATTTGTTCAAACAGTTAATTTTAATGAACTCGTGATTGGCACATTTTGCAGTATTGCGGAGCAGCAGGATCCAAGGGACCGCATGGTGCAGGTGGTAAAGTGGTACCTCTCAGCCTTTCACGCTGGTCGGAAAGGATCTGTGGCCAAGAAGCCCTACAACCCCATTCTGGGTGAGGTGTTCTTCTGTCACTGGGACCTGCCCGAAACAGAGGATCCTGCTTCTTCTGTGAGTGTAGGTTTGAAGGTCTAAAAAAGTCAAAGTTTGCAGTATCTTCTATAACAGATTTTATTTGTTGCCACTCCATGTATTATCATTTTTCTTATCCATCACTCACTGTCTTTCTTTCTAGGAGTCTGTATCAGATGGGCCATTGCCGTGGAGTAGCAAAAACAGTGTGTCATTTGTGGCAGAGCAGGTTTCTCACCACCCTCCTAGTAAGTGCTCAACTAACTAGTTACTAACTTTATCCCTGAGTATGCCTAACTAATTTAATTTATCATAACCACCAGTAGAAGAAAATAGATCCAATTTACAAGTGTTAGACTTGAAGAACCTCAAACCCCTTTCTCCCCTATCCTTTTCATCCTCTCACCCATCCTTTCTTTCACTCAGCTCACTCAGAATGGTCAAAAACATAATATAATTTTATCATCATTTGAATTATCTCCAGGCGACTGGTACAATGGTCTCAATCTTACAAGAAGTAGACTAAAAGGAAATACAGATCCTACGAGTTTAGAAATATGTGTTTACTGTTGAGGGTGTGCCATTTCCCAGTGTCTTTCATGCAAATTACCATCTGTCCCCACAAGGTGTAAACTTTCCACGTCTAGGACTTGATCAATGCACATTCCAATTGTTAGATCCTGTCTCCATTTGGGGGATGTTTGTCTTGGTCTGAGTACTTAAGGAAATGTTGCAAGAAGATCAGGGCTTCTGTAGTCAGATGAGCTCGTAGTGTGGAGTGTGTGTATATACACTCCATACTATGTATTTTTTTAAGTCAGGTATGCATCTTTTACTCTTAGATTTATCTTTGAGAATTTGATGTCTTGTATTGATTTGATTTGATATCTATGTAATTGGCATAATACATATTTACCTGACTGATAATAAATTGTTACATTTGAATTGATTCTGTTTACTGTGAGATTATTGACTGTAGTAGATTACGTTGTATCCTGTTACCGCATTTCTGCATCGGGTTAGTAACCGACTAAAATCTAGTTGAGATGGAGCATAGGGCACACCAACTGGATCTTTAGTGATCCAGCTAACACTTGGTATTAGTTCAAGTGTACTTAGAATATAAGGGCTAAAAGGGAATTTCCATTTAGGTCAACTGCATGTTGTTTGACCAACCTAAATAGGGTGGGCCTAACCTCTTGTTTACTGTAATGTTACTCTAGCTAAGTGTACATGTGAAACCATGGCACGACCAAACCAAAGTTACTATCAGAGAAAGTAATGTTGTTCGGCTTATATCTTAGTAGTGGTCGTGACCTCTGACTAGAGATAATGTTGCTTTATTCAAGTGTGTACAGATCTATTGGGACTTAACATAAGTACTTTTAGAATGAGCAAGCATAGGAGTGGCCGTTACCTCTGTCTAATAACCATGGTCCACTAACAGCCGGTGCGAGATCTCTGAGAGACATGAGAATCTGAATGAACGAGCACAATAAGAGCAAAGAGTTAACTAAAATAATCAAGTGTCAGAATAATATTTAGAAATTGACAAACAGAATGGATAAATTAATTTTTTAAAAAAAGAAATTTGCATTTTAACCTACATTCGAGGTCATAATAAACTGGAGTCAGATTTGAATTTAATTGAAATTAAATTACTTTGCACACCGAAAAGACAGAACACGCAGGAAACCTTCAGCCACCATTGGGCCAATTGGGTGGACCTTACACAAGTTACCAGAAATTACCTCAATTATCTGTTGCTGGTACTGAAAAGTAAAATAATTATTTAATTAGTAATTTATTTATTAAACTTGTTTAAAATTAAACAGTCAAAAGTCAAATAATTCCAGTTGTTTAATTAGTGATTTTATTTATTAAACTCATTTAAATTTTATAATGTTAATGCAATAATCTGTTGTGATTTTTGGGTAAATGGACATATTCTGTCACCTTTGTCCTTCTGCAGTATCTGCGTTTTATGCTGAGTGTTTCAGCAAGAAAATCCAGTTCAACGCCCACATCTGGACCAAATCAAAGTTCCTTGGAATGTCAATTGGTGTCCATAATATTGGTCAAGGTAATCAAGGACGTTGTTAAGTGGTGATTAATACACATTAGTGCTATTGCGGTGCTTAATTGTCCTCTCCTGTCCTACCGTAGGTTGTGTGTCTTGTCTTGAATATGATGAACACTATATTCTTACTTTTCCCAATGGCTACGGGAGGTAAGCATTGTTCTATTTTATCACTTTATCACACTAATGTAATTTAGATGTTTAGATTTCTAGAGGGGGAAGTGGACGGAGCGTCTCATCCATCTCACTGTGCTCCAATAGGTCAATCCTCACTGTTCCATGGGTTGAGCTGGGTGGAGAGTGCAATATTTCCTGTTCCAAATCTGGCTACAGTGCCAATATAGTTTTCCACACCAAACCGTTCTATGGAGGAAAGAAGCACAGGATAACTGCTGAGATATTGTAAGTCAAAGTGATACTGTCCATAAATTCATCATAAAAATCACTTTTAAAGCAGCACTTGAGTCAAAAGATTTTAAGTAAATAAATGTCACTTCATTAATCCATGAGGTGAGTTTTCTTTCGTTATTACAGTAAATTCATGCAAAGAAATGTATATGCAAGTGCGTTAAGATTACTGTCACATGAGAGTATGTAATAAAATCCTCATAATGTTGTCCTTTTTAGTGCTCCCAATGATAAGAAGTCATTCTGCTCCATAGAGGGAGAGTGGAATGGTGTGATGTATGCAAAATGGGCTACGGGGGTAAGTTTGATCACTAGAAAACAAGAAAAGAAAGTACATTCAAGAATAAAATTGAAGTAACATATTTGTTTTCCTCCCAGGAAAATGCACTATTTATTGACACAAAGAAAATTGGCATTGTGAAGAAGAAGGTGCGGAAATTGGAGGACCAGTTGGAGTATGAATCCAGAAGGTGTGTAGGTCTGCGTTCTCTGACAAGTTTTTTTTTTTTCTCTCTGCTTTCTAAATGTTGTTTTCTTCATAGAGCAGGGGTGTCCAAACTCGGTCCTGGAGGGCCGGTGTCCTGAAGTGTTTAACTCAAACCCCAATTAAACACACCTGAACCAGCTAATCAAGCCCTTACTAGGCATACTAGAAACTTATGCCGAGTTCACACTGCATGATTTTCAAACTCGTCGGATCGCCGTTGTTTTCACACTGCGTGACTATCTGGGGTAGCATTCAGTTGCTGCTGTGTTCACATTGCACGATGGATCGGCGACAGGGGGTTTCACATTGCATGACTTCACAATAGGAGGAATCGCCGACAGCTCTGTCTGGTCCTCAAACTACGTTTCAAAACAAAACACACGCGAGAAGTGATAAGGAAATAACGCAAGAACCCGCATGCGTCAGACCGGAGTTCTCGAGCGAGACTGGAATTATTTAAAAAATATATATATAGTCCACAAATTGTCTGTGAGCTGATTTCCAGCTACAAGGAGAAAAAGAAAAACTGATTATGCAGGAGGGAGATGCAGGGAACAGGGATTGGGTGTTCTGCAAAGAGAGTTGGAGGTAAATAATTTAGCAGTAACTGTTATGCTGATGTTGTGGCTGGTCAAGCAAATGTAGGCGCTTGTTTCTGTTGTCATAGAGCCTCTGAAACAGGTTTGCCGTAATGTGAAACATCTCCAAAGTCCATTTTCTCTCAAGCTACAGTGCAGATTCAAACACTTTTTAATCTTGGACTTGCCTCCTTGACAAGTCATGGGAAACCAGCCTTAAAAACCCATTTGAATTTTGTGTTTTTAAGAATGAAGTTTAATCCCTCAGGTTCTTAAGGGTGCTTTCACACTAGCAGTTTTGGTGCGCACCCGGATTCGATTGATGTCAGAGTTCGGTATGTTTGGATGATGTGAACGCTGTCTTCCGAACTCGGGTGCGCACCCGCGAACCGTACCCGAGTCCGCTTAAAAAGGGTGTTCTGGGGTACGGTTCAAGTGAACTCCGGTACGGTTCGCTGCTGATGTGAACGCAATCGTACCAAATCACGGAAGTGAACCGCTATTAATGACGTATTATTTGATAAAAATGTGTGTTTGTGTGTGTGTTTCACTCACTTTCTTGATGAGCGTGACTGACGCGCTGCAAGCAGAGAGCTGTATATCTCATTTCTGTTCACCTTCAAAGTACTTTAGAGCATTTGCAGTACATTTGTAAGGCAGACGTAAGTGCCGTTATGTACTGAAGCTTTGGAAACAAAACCAACGGTTTAAAAACATAAATATAAAATCGAAGAGGGTGCCTAAATCTAAATGAGGGTGCTTTCACACTTGGTTCGATTGCTTGGTCCGAACCCGAGTTCGAGATAGAAAGAATGCCGAATCGAATCGTTAATCGAATCGAATTGAATCGTTGTGAATTTGCAAAAATCGTTCTTTAATCGACTCGAAAACCTATGAATCGTGAATCGAATCGATTCGCTGTCTACCCAAAGATTCACAGCCCTAGTGTTGTTGCTATCAAAGCAAAAGATGAACAAAACAAATTATTATTATTATTATTAAATTTTTATTTAACATGGACATCACAGTTACATTGGACAAACCATATGCACTTGCTTAAGTGTTTTAGCACACATACTAATTTTCAAAACCAGTCCACGGGATGCTTTTCAGAAAGCAAAAGAAAAAAATTTTCATTAATAAAATAAAACCAATAACAATGCTAATAATAATAAATAATAATAACAATGTTAACAATAAAAGTAATAATAAATACAAATACAAAGACTTTTTCTAATTAATCTTCAACTTAATACTCAAATAGTTATGGTGATAATATAATTTGCAATGGAAAATTTCTAAATACAAGCATTTTGACTAGTGGACTTTTGGAACACACAGTATTTAATTCCCAGTTCAGTTTTGTTTGAACCTGACTTATTTGCTGATCTTCAAAATGCTTGGTTATTTTTGTGCCGGCTTCTCTGGGGACCTGCTGAAGTGATGTTTTTTTTTCTGCTTGGGTACCTTGGTGAGATGATCTGATGCAGACCGCTGTTGTTTCTCTGTCTGGCTGTCAGTTTGTGGAAGGACGTGACAACGAACCTGAAACTGAAGGACATTGATGCTGCGACGGAAGCCAAACACAGGCTGGAGGAGATACAGAGGGCGGAGGCCAGAGAAAGGAAGGAGAAGGAAATGCAATGGGAGACGAGAGTGAGTGTGCTTAAGTACACGCATATGTGAAGGGGAAATGTGCTGTGAGAAATAATGAGATTGAAATATGACTCTGATAAATGGTCCTTAATTGGTTCCTGTTGCTTTTAAGCAGCATGTTCTTACACTAAACGTTACCCATGATGCACATAGCTGGATGTTTAAAGAGCCCAACAGTGCCTGACAGTTTTTCAAATTCATTTTCTCCAAACATGCTTCAGCTTTTACCCAGACCAACCAACTCATGTTGAATTCTGGAATCAGACAGACCTATATTTACTCTAGAAGCATATACCCTCATTTAACCTTTGAGCTCATGGTAGGCCCGTCTTGATTTAAATGTTATTGCCTGACTGCATGGAATCTATTGACTCTGGACAATGGATTTAAACATTGTAAAATGTGTTCAACTCTGAAAGCATATGTATATTAGCCAAAATATTTCATAAAGGAACATTCAGTTCACATCTTGAATCGTACTACTGAGCTCTGTTCAAATTATAAGGATGTAGCCTCATTACAGTCTTGTTTTTAGCAGGAGCTATTTTGCTGAAAGGTTCTCTGGAGATATTAGAACATGCATTAATTTAATGTAAACACCTTTGATCGAGCATCTTGATTCACATGAACTGATCTGCCTTTGTTTCTCTGCAGCTGTTTCATGAGGATGGTGAATGCTGGGTCTACGACAAGCCTCTCCTGAAGCGACTAGCATCGCAACGACACTGAGGCCGTTTCCAAAACCACCGAGTCTAGAAAACAGAACTCTCTCGCAAACCACTTTTCTTATTCAGCCTTGGAATGACTAACGAATGAACCCTTACAGCTTTGCATTTTCGAAGTTTGAACGAATGACAAGAAGAAAACACAAACTTAATCTATACAAATAAAAAAAATAAACCTCCCTGCTCACTAGTTCAACACTTCCACCTCTCTATCAACCATTGAGCAAGAAAAAACACCACGAACACACAGAAGACGTGCAAATCAAGCAAGCGGCAAAAGAAGAACGATCCCAGTGGACGTGTCTCTCTCTCTCTCTCCTACTCCTACTCCTGAGGGGTTGAGGTGTTTTTATCGAACAAACTCTGAAAACTACAGTGTTCTGTATCTCAGGGAAGTAGTGGGCTGATGATTGAAGGCTGTATCTTAATGTTCAAAAAGCCTTAAAGGTGGAACCACAAAGTAAACAAAATGAGAACTTGGTTCACATACTGCTAGCTACAGCTGTTTATATATATGTAGAAGATATGATATATTCTTGTTTTCCTTTTATCTTCTTTCTCTAGGGCAATAGTAACTGTTTGAATATACATACATGACGGCAACCATTCCCTTTATGTTCCACTGCATCGTGAGTCTTTTAAGAGGATGCAGTTTCATGCTCCGAAAGCCACAATGAGCAAAAGTTACTATTTACATGACGGGGCTGAAATTTGAGACAACTTTGCCATGGTTGTATTCCATTCCAATAATGTTTTTGTTTTTTTTGGGAAATGATTTGGTATGCTCTCCAGAGCCTCGGGGAGGCTGTTTTTTTATAGATTGCTGTTTGATTGTCCACATAATTTATCAACTTAGTATAAAATTGGACTGTCCAGTAGGAAATCGTAAAGGTGCACAATAAAACCATTTGACAAATCTGTTGTTATCCTGCTGTGGTCAAGCAACGTTATCACAAATTGCCCTGCAATCTCTCTTTCTGTGAAATGTCACATTTTAATCCGAAATAAATATATACGTTTCATATAGTCATTCATCGGAAAGATTTGATTGTCTTCTTAAAGGTAAAAGTAAGAGTCTGTGGATGCATGGAGTCACTCAGGTCAGTGTTTTCTCCTGGAATGACGTCTATACATTGTGTAACATTATCAACAAGCAAAATCAAATTGTATTATCCATTTTTTCTGAGATGCAGTTGGAGCAAAACTGGCAAAACATTATTACTGCTACAGCTTAAAAAAGCCACTTGCTCTTCATATTCTGTAGTGAATTGGAGGCCTTATGCAGTAAATTTCACTTTCGCCTAGTATTGCTTTCCAGAAGCAATCCCACCAAAAAAATTATTTGCCTGACAACAATTGATTGTACCAGATTTCCATGTATCAAAGTATAATATTAAATCTCAGTGAGACCAATTTGTGTGAGAAGGTTGAGTGAATTTCTTGTTCCAAACATCCAGAGTTGAATGATGCTGTAGGTGTTCACTTCATTTGAACTACAGGGATTTGATGCATTTCGATTTTCAAAGTAATGGGAATTAATTTACTTCTAAAGTCGTAGTTAATGTATGCTTTCTCTAGGTATGTTCTGCTTTTTCCAGTAACTATAAATTAGTGTTTAAAATGTTTTATTCAGAAATGATGAATGACTAGGAAAATCAAGAAAAATTGTGGGAATTCTTTGGTCAAATGTGTGGGAAAGTGATGTATAAAAAGTACACTATTTCACAATAACTCCATTTAAAATAAATCTTGTTTGCTATAACCTTTCAATACCAAGAGATATTGTATATGTACACATATAATGTAAGTAAAACGTACGTGAATGTCCTCTATATAGAAGTGCTAATGGAAACTTGTTTTGCGCACGTACTGAATGGTTATAAATCACTTTCATGCATTGCTAAAATCTCTTGGGCTAGAAATTGTTTTTGTGGATGCAGTCTTTACAAAATTCTTTATTCTTATTCCGTTATTGAGAGCAATTACTGATCAAATGGTGTGATTTGCAGAAACCACTATTTATGATTATACTAGATGAATAAGCCATTTAGCGCACTCATCTCACTGGCATTATTGGACTATTTAAATGAGTAATGTTTCTTTTAGCGTTGAACCACATTCACAATGTGCCAGTATCACTGAAGGCAAAGGCACCACAGCGCCACCTGGTGTCATTACAGTGTACTGATATTAGCAGAGGAATTTCCCAGAAACCATTGCGCTGAAACTGTATATAAAGCAAAGCGACGCGTTCATTCGGTCTCATTGTTCTGCAGCGCTCATGGAGAATGTAGGTAATTCATTGATTCGTTTAATCGCAGTAGTTTAATATAATGGGTGTTTTTCTGTAATGTGGATGTTTGTTGTGTAACTGCCTTAAGAAGTTGTGTTTTTATTATTTTACTTTAATTAAATTCTGGAAAAGGAGTCGCTAATTTGAAGTGCGGTCCACGTGTTATAGGCCTCGAATGAACGTTAATATGCTTATTGTAACTAAATTATCTTGTGTTAATATGCTTTAAATAAGTTTTGAGTGAAAGGTTTTAATATTAACTTGACTAAACCATTTAACGTTTAATTCAATATTGGTCCACGTGGTATGTATGTGTTGTAACGAATCTTTTTTTTTTTTTTTTTAAATTTTTCTATATTTTTATTTCCAGGTCTAACGTTAATGCTTTGAGGCCTTTGATATAGGGTGACAACAGGTATATACCATAAGTGGTTTTAAATGCATTTTGAATACTTTGCTTATGATGAATAAAAAAAGAAATAAGAGTAGTGGACAGGAGTGGTTTCTGAGAACATTTTTACACTGAAGCATTGTGAAGTTTTTAATTGAGGATGTAATTAACGTTTCAGCGTTATAATCCGCTTTTGTTTTTTCTTTTTTTTTTTTTTTGCTTTCAGGAATCTGGAGCGGATCTAGAGTGTCCAAGGATTTTTTTTTTTGTCTCTCGGAGATGGAAGAAATTAACAAGTCAGTTACTTGACTAGCACTTCATTTGTCCATGTTGAGTTCATAAGCCTATAATGACCTCTGTTTACTTGTATGATGATTTAAGTGATGTTTGTAGGGACATCTGAGTATTTGATGAGCCAACATCTCTGACAAGTAAAACGGTTGTGTGCACGTGCCTAGTCTTTGTAAACTTCAGTTTTAAATATTTCTATTTTTATTTCCAGGTCTAATGCTTTGAGGCCTTTGATAAAGGGTGACAACAGGTATATACCATAAATCTGGTTTTAAATGCATTTTGAATACTTTGCTTATGATGAATAAAAAAAAGAAAAGAGTAGTGGACAGGAGTGATTTCTGAGAACTTTTCTGAGGCATTGTAAGGTTTATTATTATTATTATTGTTACTATTTAAACTACAGTTATCTTTTTAATGCTTGCAGGAATGTGTGAATCTGGAATGCTGTGTGAAAGGTATATTGTTTTATGTGTCATGCTTTAATGTAAATAAGTGTGTATGATGATCTTATTTGCTACTCTTGAGTTTGCGCTGATGAAACTGCAACCACCAAGTTCTTATCTGATGCACAGTGTTTGAATATCATATGCGTATTGCAGGTGTGCTCTTGTTAATATTTGCCCCCCCCCCCCCCCCCCTTTTTT